TACATTATATATATGTATGTATAAAGAAATCACAGTAAAACCCAATGTTTATGTAATTATTAAGGCATGCTAATAAAAGCAACAGAGGGCAGTACCGACACCATGAAATACGGGGGATAAATTCAGGAACTGGCTGTGATTCTGGGATGGAAAGGAGTTCAGGGCCTGTGAAAGCTGAAGGTAAGCCTGCAGAGGTCTGGTAAGTGTTTTTAAGAAACTGGTTTGGCTCATTTATCTTCAAGTCCTTCAGGGAATCCAAAGGATAATCATTCAGATTGTCAAACAGAAAAGTCAGCAGGTGTGGGGTTCCAGAACAGCGGGGATTCAGTTGTCCACAGGAGACAGTTGGTAAGTGGGAAATTCAATCAAATGATGCTACCGTGTGCCAAGCACTTACACAAACATCTTAGCGAATCTTCACAGCTCTCAGAAGCAAACTTCTGTGTTCATTTCACGAATGGCTCCAGTTAACAAGGAGCTGAGGCCAGGCAGGACTCCTATTCGTCCAGGCTTCCCTGTTCAGTTGTTTTCTTCCTAGTGTGCCCACAGCCATTATTAAAATGCCTTCTGTTTTCCTTCCAGGCCCTCCTCAAATTGTGCTACACAGTTGTGCTTTATAGATTGATGAGTCTTGAATGTGGCACACACCTGTGGCCCCACCACTAAGGAAGCAGAAGCATAAGACGGAGAATTTGAGATCAGCCTGAGCTTCATAGACACTCTCCCCCAAACCGAAAACACCACCAACAGAACAAATAAAGCAGGTACAGTAGGAAGGACTATGAGAGGCACAAAGACTGGGAGCCTAAGGCTGTCCTTGACTTCATCTGGTGCAGGAGACCCTGCCTCAGGACACAAACCAAAAAAAGACTTATTTTAGGTAAGGACAAGAAGTTAATCCAAATTGTACAGTCCTTACAAAATTACAAAACACCTTAACCTAGAAAAGTTCTGCAACTTAAATTAGCATTTAAGAAGCATTTGAGGGTTGCTATGTAAGCAGAGAGCTTGTATGTAAAGCTGAGTCTCAAAAATAAATCTCAACAGAAAATGTACGGCACACATACAAACCATAACCTTCTCATTTTCCAGGCATTAGTATTTCTAGCAGGGGCAAATACTCAATCAGACTTTAACACAGTGACTGTCACCCTTTCGTTCATCCGCGGCGGCTCTCCGTCAATCACACGTCAGTCATTATCCAATTCAAGTCTGTATTCCCACACCAAAAGTCAGTTGCCAAAGTTAATTATTATTATTATTTTTAGTTTTTTCGAGACAAGGTTTCCCTGTGTAAGAGTCCTAGCTCTAGTACGAACTCACAGAGATCCGCCTGCCTCTGCCTCCCAAGTGCTGGGATTAAAGGCCTGCGCCACCACCGCCCAGTAAGTTAATTATTTTTTAAAAGAAAACACTAAAAAGAAACAGTCTGACCACCTAATCTGCGGATGGAATGGAGGTCACAGCATAAAGGGGAAAGACCACAGAAATTCAACAACTATCTCACGGAAATTACACTCAGCAAATGCACGAAGCACAAGTACAAGGAACCCATTCAAACCTTTCCTGAGCCTCTGTTGAGCTCTCACAAGTAAATCAGACCCCACTGCTCCTTAGACACTTCCAGGACGCCTTGGGGGAAGGGAACCAACTATCTCCCTCCCCTCCCTAGGGGTGGGGAGTGGAGAGAAAGAGGAAGCACGACAGCAATGCAGCGGAAAGGCTTCAAAGTACAGGTTTAGGCAGCTCTTTTGGTTCGGTTGGGGTTTGGTTTTGAGACCCCAGATCAAACTCCGCATCCCTGCCTCAGTGTGCTGGGACTGCCGGCACACTCCACCACGACACCCCCAGTGTTGCCTGACTGGTTTAAGAAGAAAGCCATCAGCACCATACCCTTGCATTTTCAGCGTGTTAGGAGACAGTTATTTCAATATTCCTATCAGAAGGATAGGGAGGGAAAGAAGAAACAAGATGGCAGAGAAGGCCCACAGGGACGAGCTATGATGTGAGGTGGCCTCAGTCACTGACTTCAGTTAACTCTCAGCTTGACTGCTAGACTTGTGAAATCAGCCAAGTAACACCTTACAAGTAAGTAAATAAATAAATGACTTTTGGTCCAAAACCATAAATATACATAATGGAATTGACCCTGACACTAAAGCAAAATAATTTTTTAAAAAAGAACTAAGGAAACCGGCAAACCTAAGAAGGTAGTTTACCCACTAAAGAATGCTGGAGGCACCAGAAGCCAGGCCCGACAGTCAGAGTTCTATCCTTGGGGCCCACAAGGTGGAAGGAGAGAAGCAACTCCCAAAAGTTATCCTTTGACTTCCATACTTGTGAGACGTGACTGTGTGCACGTGTGTGTGTGTGTGTGTCTGCATGCGCGCACACACAAGCACGCACGTGTACACACACACACAAAAATAAAAGATAATTTAAAAAAATAAATAAGGGCCAGAAAGGGGGCTCAGAAAGACAAGAAAGGCGCTGGCCCCCAAGCCTAATCACCTAAGCCGATCCCCACAATTCACATGATGCAAAGAAGAAACTCTGGTCATTTGTCTTCTGACCTCTCCGGAGACAAGTGTGCCCCCACCACACACAAATGACTGCTTTTTAAAAAATTAAGAGTAAAAAGAGACATATTTTAGGGCATTTGCATTGTTAAGAGCCTTTTTGCTCATTTAACAATTATATTAACATAATTATAAAGCGGCCTTTTTAAAAAAGCTATTTACTAGGCTTGTTCATGCTGTACACGTTTCGTCTGGAGTGGACGATTACATGTGCTTTCCAAATAAGCATCTTAATACCGTCCACCTCTCAATGTTATCATGACCCATAGTGATTAAAAATAGCCTTTGTTAATTTTGAATTAACCCGCGGCCCCCATAAGCTACAAGAGTACAGAAAGAGAGAAAGGACAACACTCTAATAAGGAACCAACAGGAAAAAAATGGAAAAAAGTTGAGACATCATCATCACACCACCCTATTCTGTTTGTTGTGGTTGGTTGTTTCGACAGGCTCACTCTGTAGTCCAGGATGGCCTCGAACTTACAACGATCCTCTCGCCCCAGTATGCCCAACACACCGGACTACTTCACTTTACTCTTCAGAAAGTAACATATGCCTTAACGTCTCAACTGAACGTTCATGTCTAAATGTTTCTTTAATAAGTCTCTCATGCAACGTAAAAAAAAAAATAACAAAGAAGGCATTTACCAGTTTCACGTATTAGGAGCCTGAACTGCTGCTTAGGTGTAACCTGAATTCTTATTCCTTTCCACTGCACGCTCACCTCAACTTATTGCTTTAATATTCTAGGAGTGTACAAGGCTACTACAGCAACTTCGGAAACCAGCTCTTGGCCTTTTATAACATTTCTTTAAAAACTCAGCAAAGATCATAACACTTTAAAACACTCCAAACAGACTGTAAGCCACTGCTCCCGTCAGAGTCACTCTCCGCGGTGCCATTTTCCTATAAAGTCACATAAAACGCGCTGCTCAAGTCACAGCGTGCTCCCGACGCCCAGTCCCCGCAAAGTTTTCCGAGCCCACTGTCTGCGGGCCCGAGTCCTAGCGCCGGACCGCTCGGAGCGCACCGCGGGGCCGGGTCCCAGGATCCCGGGAGGCGCGGACGGGCGCGGCGGGACCCAGGCGGTTCCAGCCCGAGCGCCAGCCCGCAGGGGAGCCGCCCGGGAGCGCCCCGTTTCCCACAGACCCCAACATGGCGTCTGCCGCCGCCGCCCGCGCCGCCGCCTCCCCACCCGGGCCCGGGCCCGCGGGAGCCGCCGCCCGCAAAGTTTCGCTTCCCTCCCCTCCCCGGCCCGGCGCCGCCACCCGGCGCGCCCCGACCCCCGCGGCACCTACCCGGCCCGGCGCGGGCGAGCGGCGGCGCCCAGGCTGCGACTCCTCCTCGTCAGCGACTCCGGCCCCAGCCTCGCAGAGGGTGTGGGGGCCCAGCGAGGCCGGCGCGATCCGGTCGCGACGGGCGCGGACGCTCGCTCGCTCGCAGGTGACTTCACCGCCCCTCCGGTCCCAGCCGACAACGGCCGCCCGGGCTGGCTTCCCTCCTGCGCGCGCACCGGCGCGCCCTCGCTCAAGCGCCCGGCACGGGCGCGAGCACACCCGCCCTGCCCTTTCTTCCCGGTTCCCTCGCCCCGCCCACCGCCTTGGCCCGCCCCTCCGTTCCCCCCACCGCACGCGACAGGCTCGAGGGGCGGGGCCTTGGGGCGAGGCCACACCCGCTAGGGCGTCCCGGGGCTGGGCTGCGGGGCGCATGGCTCTGCTCAGAGCGGGCTGGGGCGAGCCGGAGCGGGCTGGGGGCGAGCCGGAGCGGGCTGGGGCGAGCCTGAGTCTTTTGGGGCGAGCCGGAGCGGGCTGGGGTGAGCGGGCTGGGGCGAGCCGAGAGCCTTTTGGGGGCGAGCCGGAGCGGGCTGGGGCGAGCCGGAGCGGGCTGGGGCGAGCCGGAGCGGGCTGGGGCGAGCCGGAGCGGGCTGGGGCGAGCCTGGGTCGCCTAACCTGACTTTCCTGACTCCGAGTCGCCTTCGGGAAGGGCTGTTGCGCTGTCCGCGAAGTTCTCTGGAAGAATGGACGGAAGCCGCCTCCACGCCTCCCCAAGGAACAGGAAAGAAAGGCTTTGCCTCTCGCCACCCAAACGCCTGCCAGCCCCGCCCGGCTCGGCCGAGCTGCCGGGCGCTACCCCCTGGAGCGGGGTCTGCGCGTTCCGCACCCCGGCCCCGCGCGCTCCCTTGTCACTGTTGACTTCGAGCTCCACTCTGCTCGCTGCTTCCCCGGCAACCAACTCCGCTACCTGCTTCGCGTGCCCAGAACGCCGCGCTGGGAGAACATTGATGAGCTGACCCTGGCTGCTCAGACCCTCAGCACCGGGCGTTTGCTCCAAGCAGGCCGGGCGGGGACACCGTTTAGAGCATACCGTGTAAACAGGGGAGGGGTAGAAAATGGGTGAGAGTGAATTTTATTTCAGAGTTGGCTTTTTTTTTTTTTTGGAACCTCTTGTTCAGCATTTTTCAACCTGTGGGTCCCGACCCCTTTGAAGTCGAACAACCCCTTCACAGGGGTCGCCAAAGACCAACGAAAAACACAAGATATTTGCATTACGATTCATAACAGGAAAATTACAGTTATAAAGTAGCAACGAAAATATCTTTATGGCGGGAGACTGCACCAAAGGGTCGCAGTGCAGCATTAGGAAGGTTGAGAACCACTGCTCAAACTTCTTTTAAATTAGCGGTCCACCAACCACGCTCTCCACAAATGAGTCTGGGGGAAAAGGGAATGAGCAGGTTTGGATTCTGGTGGTTTTCCTTCTGCGCTTGTGTCCGGAAGTCTTTATGTCCTTTCCATCTTCTCCTATTTCAACGTCCCTGCAACAAACACAATTGTTTAAAATTAGTATCCAGAACAAAATTACAAAATTGGCAAAGGAGCCCAATTGTGACACTAGGGATAGTTACAGGGTTTCCATCATGCACACAACATTCTGTTCTGTTCTGAGGCAGTGGTTCTCTGTAGCTTTGGAGCCAGTCCTACAACTCTCTCTCTGTGGACCATGCTGACCTTTAACTTACTGAGATCCGCCTGCCTCTGCCTCCTGAGTACTGGGATTAAAGGCGTGCGCCACCACCTCCCGGCACACACACAATCTTTACAAGTGTTAGACTAAGCACACTCTAAGGTCCCTTTAAGTCTGGAGATTGGGAACTGCTTTGTCTGTACGGTCCATTCTAAAGCTTTAGAACCAAACATTTTCGGTTGCTCATTTCATAAAAATGTTGCCCTCCCTACCAGTACCCTTATTTAACTTAAAGTACACAGGTGCAAGCCAGAATGTCTACACACTCAAAGTCCACCAGCTGTATAATAGCTGTGTCCTTGGACACGCTCAGTTACCCTTAGTTCCTTCATGGGTAAAATAGGGATAATAAAAGAAATTACCTCAAGTCATTAAATAAACCAATATTTGTAACATACCCCAAGCACAAGCTAAGTGCTATGTGAGCACAATGAGAATTATTAAGCATATATATATACATATGTACTATGTATGTGTGCACACATATATCTATTAGAATTTACCTTATTTTTGAGTATTAGCTAAAAGATACCAAATTAACACTTTAAATATTTGAAGTGCCATGTTTTCTTCCGGCATTCTGTGTATTCTCCCTTCCTGGGATGTGCATTCCCCAGTTTGCAAGCCACTCAGAGTCATACCAGCAAATATGGGAACCACTAAGCACCTGTATTAATTAATTTTAAATTTAAGATCTGGTCCTTTGCTGACACAGTTCTGTTGAATGGCACACAGCAAGCTGAACAAAATGAGAGACCAAAGTCCCCTAAGGGCATTTGGGCCATCCACCCCACCCCCCACCCCCCTGTCTCAGCCGGTAACTCTGTTACCTGTTCACACAGTAAGATCTGTCCCTCGCCTCCTGTCTCCTCTGTGACTTGAAGATGAAACAGGAACTACTTGATAGACTGCTGTCACCCGTAAAATGTCTCCGTCACATCCCCACACCTGATGAGTCATTACCTCTGCTGGAATCCAAAATACAGAAGGATGGTTCTCTCTGTGGTGGTGCTCACCCGTAATCAAAGCACCTGGGAAAGGAAAGCCCGAGGTCACCTACCTCAGCAGGGCTCACCTGATTGGATGTCGCCTTGGGATACAGGAGACCCTATCTCAAAGCAGTGGGGCTGTGGGGATGGCTCTGTCAGTACAGAGCCTGATATGCAAGCATGGAGGCTTGAGTTTAAACCCCAGCACCCACAGAAAAGCTGGGTGTGGGGGCACACCCCTGGAACCCAGTGTGGGGAAGTAGAGGCAGGAGGATCCCTGCTACTCACTGGCCAGCCAGCCTAGCCTACATCTGGGTCCCAGTGAGGGAAACTGAGGGTGGCTCCTGAGACAGAGCCCTGTGTGCTTAAAACTGAGTGTGTAGGTGCATGCCCGGAATCCCAGCACCCAGAAACAGGGGCAAGAGGATCAGAAGAAGTTCAAGGCCGTCTGCCCTCAAACGTTTGAGACCAGCCAGAGATCCATAAGAGTCTGTCTCCATTAATAATGTCACAAGATGATAAAATCCATCAGTGGTTGTCGGTTATCATTGAGGAGGGAGAGAAGAATAAAGGGGTGGGGTGGGGAGGGCAAACACTCTATAACACTATCTCGACAATGGAAACACACTCCTTACACTCTGCTCAAACCCCAAGGATCTATGACGTCAAACCCTCTGTCCAAGATCCTGGGTTGGATCCTCAGGTAGATGTAAGTTCTCTATTCTAGCAGACTATACAACCCTGTTTCAGGACAGTTATGGTTGGGGAGACGGGGCGGGTATACACAGAAACTTTGTACTCTTCCCTCAGAATCGCTATAAACAAAAAACTGCTCTTAAAAAATTGAATCTATTTAAAAAGAAAAAAAGCAAAAAATATTGCATATGTCTCTTGAAGAAGTTGGGATTTAAGCTTAGAAGTGATTTGAGATGCTTTTTGGCAGGCATTTAAGGCATTTCGTGGAAGAGTTAGTTACTGCGTATCTAAGGCGACTGCTCTTTTTACCATCTGTCAAAATCTCACCTTAGAATTTTTTTAAACAGTGTTTAAATTTGAATAGAGATCCTTATTCATTTATCTAAGTTATAGTTTCTTTTGAAACAAGCCAACTTCACTATGTCACTAAGGATGATCTTGGACAGTGTAAACAATGTGGAGAGCATCTAAGGAAGACAGCTGCCCCAATCTCCAGCCTCCACATGGGTGAACATGGAGACATGTTCTCACATGTACATGTGCACACACACACACACACAGCAGAGTAAACATGGATAGCATCTAAGGAAGACGGCTAACATCAACAATCTCCAGTCTCCACACATGGTGAACAGAAACACGTGCACACATACAAACAGAGCTAGAGGGTGGCGCATGTTCATACACTTGGGCATACACACACAGGCACACACGGGGAAACATGCTCACATATACACAGGCACAACTGCGTTCGTTAAGTTTTACTACAGAGTATAAATCCTACTGAAATACTCTTAACACAAGCAAATATATAATGTCTGCTTTCTTCTGTAGTAAGTTTCTAAATTCTGTACACGTTACCTTCTTTATCAGTAGAGGGAAATTTTCATCTATCTTGGGTGTGGCAGCTCATGCCTTTAACCTCTACACTGGGGAAGCAGAGGCAGACAGAGTGAGTTCCAGGCTTGCCTTGGCTACACGGGGAGACCCTGTCTTCAAAAAAAATGAAACAGAACAAAATTCCTACTATTACTACTGTTTGTGGCAGGCAATTATTGAATAACTTTTCTTTCCGTCACTACTCCAAAATAAATATACATCCATCAAAGAGCAGTTTTTAAAACTTGGCTCTAGATTAAATAAAATTCAACAGAATATCTAAATCCAAATATTGCCAAGAGAATCTATTTCAAAAAATAGTTTTTGGTAGAACACTGGTGTCATTCATGTGTTCCTTTGTGAAGAGAAATTTAAGTATGATTTCATTTTAAAATTTCTTCTTAAGTAGAAACACAATCTGGGGGACAAAACAAACTCCTAGGCTTTGGAGTCCAGCAGAGCTGGTGAAATTGGCGTCTTCTTCCACCGTAAACCATGTGGAAGGGGAAGGCGTATAACTGATGCACCAGAGTTTCTAGAACTCATATAAAATGAGGAAGATGAACTCTAGCTCCCAGGATGACAAAGATCAAGAGAAACGCGGCCGAGCACCTAGCATGCTCCTGGCAGATCATAGATGCTCAACAAACCAGCTGTAGCAGTAATCACTGTAACTGATTGTATATTCAATTGTATATTAAATCTTGACATGTGTAATTTGTAGATCCTCTGTTCTTGCTGGCTTTGTCTATCCTCCAGACAGGCTCCTGTGTACCTCTATCTCGGAAGGATGACCTTGAGCCAACCCTCCCTGTTCCTCCCAAGCTCGTTAAGGGGAGGACCGGTTATGGGAAAGTTCCACCGTGCCCAGTTTGTGTGGTTCTAGAAAACAAATCCAGGGCTTCCTCCAGGCTCTTGACATCCGGGCTCCGTACTCCGTACCCTCAGCCAGTTCTTACAAAACTCTTTCCTTCACAGTGTGTCTCTCATCAGTTCTTCACTTGAGATTGAGAACAAACAGCCTGTTCGCCAGCAGGAAAAAACGCCAGGTCGACATGCCATCCTTGGGTCACCCGGTCCCACTCTTTACCTAGTCTCCTGCTGGGTAAAGCACCCCCAGTACCCTTCTCCAATCTGACTTCAACTAAATTCATCCACAGCTTTCTTAACTTTTGTTGGGGGGGGGGGGAAGGGGGTGGTTCGAGGCAGGGTTTCCCTGTAGCTTTGGAGTCGTTCTTGGAACTAGCTCTTGTAGACCAGGCTGGCCTCGAACTCACAGAGATCCACCTGCCTCTGCCTCCCGAGTGCTGGGATTAAAGGCGTGCACCACCACCGCCTTGCCTTCTCTTTACTTTTCACCTCAAGCTCAGACACAAGATCTGGGCATGACAAGAAGGAACAAGACACTGGTTGTAAAAGGACTAGTGGACTGCCCCAGAGAAAGGAGCATCTCCACTACTCAACAGTTTCCTTGCCCACTTGAACACACACACACACACACACACACAGCTTTTAGTGCTGAGGATGCTGGAACCCGGGTCCTCACAAACACAAGGCAAGTGCTCTACTACGTGTGTTTCACTGCATCTGACTAGAAGCCGGGGTCTAGCAGCGTAGCTCAGCTGGGAGAATGCTCACATTCTAGAGTGCACAAGGCTTTGGTCTCCATCCTCAGCATCACATACAACAGCAGGGATAGTAGTGCATGGTTGTATGTCATCACAGAAAGTAGAGGCAGGAGGACCAGAAGTTCAGGTCATCCCCAACTCCACAGGGTGTTTGACTCTGCTCTCTGCCACGCGAGAACGTGTCTCATAAGAAAAGAAAATCAAAATCAATCACTTCTCCCCCCTTTGACTCGGAACACTACAGTGACGTGCTTTAACCAACAGAATATGGCATCTATAGCATTCCAGAAGTCACTTTCTAAATTGCTCCTATTTGGGGCAGTTCTGGCAGGAACCTAGCACACTCAATGAAAGTCCCAAGTCACACATGTGCTCCAGTTGTGGCCTCCAGGACACTCAATAGATAAGCATCATCAATCCCAGCCTGCTAGGAACCATCTTGGACTCCAGTTCAGTTGAGTTGTAAGGAGACCGTAGCTCCAGCCATCAGCTGACTGCAACCGTGTGGGTGACCAGAGGACTGCTAGCCTACCCTGGTCAGCCCTCACAGAGCCACCAGCCAGGAGCAAGCTGTGCTTGTCCTGGGTTACTATGGCAATGCTTGTGGAGGTCAGAGGACAGCCTGGTTCTTTCTGCTTCTGTATGGTTTACTCCAGGAGGGCTGGCTGGTGAGTTCCAGCACAGTTCTCCTATCTCTGCCTCCCATCGCTCCTCAGGAGTGCTGCTATTATAGACGTGAGCCGCTACACCTGGCTTTTTATTCGGATTCCGGAACCAAACTTGGTTCATCCAGTTTGCACACCTCACACTTAACCTGCTGAGTCATCTCCTCAGCTCCAAGCTGAACATAGGACAATAGGCTATACAAAAATCAGCGAGAAGAACATCTGGCTGCTCTCCAGGGCAATGGACTTGCTGACTCGACTCGTGGATCCAGGCTTCTGACAGCTGTTCCTCATCCGTCTCTCTCTTTTTCTGTTCATTTCCACCAAAAAGTCCTCGTTATCGGTGCCAACGCTGTTAACAGCCACATCAAGCCATTTTCAGTTTTTCAAAACACAGGTGTTTTTGCTTCAAAATACATTTATGTACCCCAAATGTATCGCACCCCAAATATATGTCACCATGATTCAAAATCCTGTGCAGAGGCTTTGGGAGTATAGTAGTATAAGCATACATAGCTCCCTCCCCTCCCTCCCAAAAAGCATGTCCAGGCCACATTCTCATGACCAAAGAACACAATCACCACCTTCAGCATGCAGAAAGAACTTTAAAGACTGTTCCAGATCTCCAACTGTCAACGTGTACCGTCGCTTTGGCATTCACGTGTCTGTCACTTTGAGGAAGCACCTGGACAAATGGACATTCCTCTCTAAGGGCCAAGCTTCTGCCTAGAGGCAGCCTTGGGGCTCGTGAGGAGCCTGCTAGGAGGATGTGGCACGTACATCACGTGCCTAGAACCCCCCCTTCCCACCCCCCCTCGTTAATCAACAGGAAGTTAACCTCAGAGATTGTGTGGATGAGGAAGTGTGCGCTCCCAAGTGTGGGCAGTGGAGCTCTGACCAGTGTGGCTCAGTCAACCGGACAGCACCTAACAGACCCAGCAGGGAAAGAGGAGACATGGAAAAATGGCTTCCTGTGAGAAGAGGAAACTCTTTCTCCTCTACCATGGTTCTCTGATCTCCTTACCACATTTAAGCAGGCAGATTTTGTAAGATGGCACCGGAGGGGCCCTGGCTGGTGAGGACCATGGGCCAGAGACAAATGCGCCTGCAGGCAGAGTTCAAGTGAGGGCTTTGTTGAGAGAAGGGTAAAGGGGAGGGAGGAGGGGAAGAGAAATACAGAGAGGGAGAGGAAGATGAGACAAGGAGCAGCCTGCCTCTTCAGATGAGCTGCGGGGAGAAGGGGGAGGTGGAGAACAGGATTGGGCGGGGCTTGTCTCTTAAAGGGATCTTTGCACCTGTGAGTAGCCGCCATAGGACCCTGGACTGGCTAGGATACTGCCTGGGTTCATCCTGCCAGGTGCCAGGGACCAGCAGAATGCCTGAATCCCAACATTCCCATCTTTTTCTTATTATAAAAGTGGAAAAATTAAGGGGATAGCCAGTGGCACAGGGATGGGGCCGGGTTCTCAAGACTGCTTCCTGCTGACTTGTGGGTGTTGAAGTCTTGGACCTGAGAAAGCTGGGGTGCTGGCCATGTCTTGGGGTAGCTGGTTGTTCTGCTGCTGTCCAGGCTCTGTGGAACTGTCTGGTGTCTCTTGGACCTGGCTGAAATTTGTGTTGTAGAAACGGCAGTGTACTCACATCAGAAGTGACGGTGACAAATGTGTTGTGCACAGTGAAAAGTGTCTTTGAGGTCTACAGTTAGGAAACCAGCAAAGGGAATTTAAAATCTTCAGCTTGTAGCTATTAGGATTGTGGTAGTCCTCTGTCAGGGTTGGATTAATAGCTTATTAGAACTTTATTGATTAATGTTAAGACTGTCAACGGTAGCATGAGAGAGAAATCTGATAACATGCATTTGTACACCTCAAAACACTTTCTTATACCCTGACACACTTTTAGGTCCCCAAACCTTAAGCTTTGTATCCTAAAACACCTTTATTTAGACCAAGAAATGGTAAGACGCTATGCTGAAATCTGTTTTGAGAGTTTGTTCCTTCTAAACTGGCAAACCTACCAGCCATCCAACTGCCTCAGAGTTCTCGAGGAGGATAAAGCTTACCTGAGTTATTTAATTAAAAAGTGACAGAGACTTACTTGATTGACTACCTAGACAACCTTTCCAGGTCCTCCTGGTCGCTGAGGGCAGGGCTTAGGGCAACATCAGTCTTACACTGGCAGCACAGGGCCTGCCAGGCTTCAGAAGGTCCTGTGGATTAGGAGTTTGTAGGAAGACCAGCCTGCCTTTCCCTGGGCAATAGAGGCAGTCATTCCCTCAGCTCCCTGTTGTCCATGGTCTGAAGAGGTCTTTGCAATGGCTGAGGTGAAAAGCAGGTTTGCTCAGTGGCTAGCGCTGCCTCTTGTGAAGCAAGCTCCAGGTGGAGGTTCTTCTGTTCTTATCGGTATTCTTCGGAGGGAAAGGGTGGTGCCAGGAGCCAACCTGTCTACTCTAGATCTTGGAGCATTTGAGGACTGTTATTGGGCACATATGAGTCGTGACTGTAGAATAGGATCTGCCCGGAGAGCTGGATCCAAGTTGAGAGGCTGTGGAGCAATGTTTTACCCAGAGTCCTCCAGCTTGACTGTAACTGGCTTTTACTTAGAAAGATCGATTTATACTCGTGAAGGGCAAGGAGGTAAAGAAAAAAAAATTTATTCAACAGAAGTTTAACAGTAAAGACTGACAATATTGAAGAACAGCTTACAGGAAATCTCTAGATCTCTAGATTAGCTTTTGTTAATCTGAAATAGATCTTTATGACCTTAAATTTTTTAAAAAATTTCATTTCTTTTTTTAATTGATTTTTATTGAGCTCTACATTTTTCTATGCTCCCCTCCCTGCCTCTCCCCTCCCCTTCATGACCTTAAATTTTTATCACCATGGGGCTGGAGAGATGGCTCAGAGGTTAAGAGCACTGGCTGCTCTTCCAGAGGTCCTGAGTTCAATTCCCAGCAACCACATGGTGGCTTACAACCATCTGTAATGAGATCTGGCGCCCTCCTCTGGCGTGCGGGCATACTTCTAGGCAGAATGTTGTATACATAATAAATCTTTAAAAAAAAATTTTTTTATCACCATGTAGAATATATTTGAAAGCAGGGTTGAATCGCATAGACAGTATGTTGTAACAGAGCTAATCAGATATTTGTCATCATTTAAAATTATACACCAATTTAAAATATTTGAGACTTTGTCTAGAAGGAGATACAATGAACAGAGTTTATTAGGACTATTCTAAAACATTTTTAACAACAAGTACATGTACACATGCACACAGTTGAATTGAAGTAGCATACATACACACAGAGTTAGAGCCTGCTTATATTCACACATAAAGTTAAATCAAAAGTCACATGCACACTGGCTGAGAGGAAGCTGCCCTTTCCATCTCTGACTCACATGTGGTAGCAAACAGGGCACTTAAAGAGAGAGAGAAAGTAGAGAATTAAAGCTGCCAATGAACAACAACTCTTCCCTGTTCCCAGCACCCACGAGACTGCTCACAACTGTAACTCCAGTTCCAGGGGATCTTATGCCCTTTTCTGGCCCTATAGGCACCAGACACTTACGTGACATATACACACACATATACACACAGGCAAACACTCATACATATAAAATGATTTTTAAAAGAATTTTTGAGGAGTTGGTAATTTGTCAAGATAGATACACAGTTTGATAGACAGGCCCTTCAAAGGCAAAACTCTGTGTGTGTGCGTGTCTGTGTGTCTGTGCTTATGTGTGTATGTATATGTGTATGTATATGTGCATGTTCATGTCTGTGAGTATGTGTGTATGTGTGTTTATATGTATATATGTGTCTGAGTATCTGTGTGCTTGTATATGTATATATCTGTGTGTCTATGCATGTGTGCATGTGTATGTGTGTGTTACTTTTATAAAATACAGAAGCAAAACTCTTCCCTTGTATGTATTTCTTAAAAACAGTCCTTTCTCATTTTACAGGCCAATTCCAGTTCCCATTGCTTCCCCCTCCCCCATTTCCCCCATCCCTCCTTCTCCCTGCCCCAGTACCTGATGCACTCCTCAGAGAGGGTAAGGCTTCCCATGGGTAGTCAACAAAGCCTGGCACATCACTTTGAGGCAGGACCAAAGCCCTCCACATATATCTAGGCTGAGTAAGGTATCCTCCATAGAGAATGGGCTCCAAAGAGCCAGTTCATGTACTAGGAGTAAATCCTGGTCCAACTATCATTGGCCCAACAGACTGCCCCAGTCACACAACTGCCACCTACATTCAGAGGGCCCAGTTTAGTCCTATGCAAGTTCCCCTGCGTAGTCTAGAGTAAGTGAGTTCCCATTAGCTCAGGTCAGCTGTCTCTGTGGTATTCCCATCATGGTCTTGACCCCTTTGCTCATATTATTGCTCCTCTCTGACTGGACTCCTCAAGCAAAGTTCTCTATTTTTCTTATAATTCCCTAAGATTATCTACTAAAAACATTTGAGCAATTAGAGAAGTAACAATAAATGATAAACTTCCTGCATGCCTCTCAAGGACTGAGCACAGGGCCTTGCGAAGTGTGGCATGTGTTCTTTCAGACACCCTTGTTCACTGTGAAGCTCAGAAGAGCATTTCCATCAGCTCGTTGTCATTTCAGATCTAAACTGAAGCCCTGTACCAAGTTTATCTTTAACCATGCCTGTGAAATGGTCGGGGAAACCGTGCCTGCCTTCTCCTCTCTTGAGGCTATCTTGAGCTCACAGAGGAAAAAGGTAGGCAAAGAAAACAACGTAATTATCACCCACATACACTGAACAAAGGAATGAGATTACAGAGCAGAGGTAAAAACTATACACAGAGAATGGACACGATGACGCACAAGGACAGTCCCTGAAATAGCTCAGCTTCGGTGTGTGGTATGACAGTCTGCCAAAACCTGAGGGAATAGGATCGCCAACAGCTTGTCACTGGGCTTGTTTGAAAGAGTCCCTGGAAGTACATCTGTATCCACAGTGCCAGAAAGTGCTAACTTTGGTCCAACATGGCTATCAGCACATGAGGGCTAAGACAAGCAAACTGCCCACTAATACCGCCTGGCATCAGTCGCTCTTGCATTCCGGGGGCTCTCTCACCATCTCTGCCACCTATCTGCCCACAGCCTCTGGGGGCCACACCTCCAGCTAAGGGTGAACGGGCCTCCCTGGTTTTCCTTCCCTCTCTTGTGCAAGCTGTCGGCCTAGGGCCCTTCCCTCTTTCAGTTACCACATCTCTGTTCTAAACTGGAGAGACAAGTTTGCAGTTCAGCCCAGCCCTTGCTTTCTCACAGAAGCCTCTGTGTCCTCTTAGCTCCCAGGCTTTGCTGCAGATGGGACAGGGGTTGCAGACAAAGTGAGAACAGCCATGTCAGGGAGCCTCCGGGCTCGAGCAAGTGTACCAAGTTCCCTTCTCCGGGACCTGGCCACAGTTCCTGCCTCCCCGCCTTTCCCACTTAGTCCTATCAGAGCTCAGCTCTCCCTGAAGGAAAGAGTGGGACAATTGACCCCTCCCACAACACACAAACAACACACACACACACACACACACACACACACACACGAGCCTGCATGCGCCTCTAAGGAGGCTGCCTCCTGACTCTCCGACCCGTGTTCCAGTGGGAACTGAGTGATGGTCATTAATTTTTCTGTGACGTGGCGTTTCCCTTTCTGAGGACATCCAGACTGGATGTCCCCCCTTTTCGTGTATTCCTTCCTCTGTAGAGAAATTATTCCTCTCCAGATGTCTGTGAAGACATCAGACGTCCTGCCCCAACTCGCATTCCCTGCTACTGTGTGACCTCCAGCATATAAATGAATCTCAGCCTCTGTCTGCTCACCCATAGGCGTGTAACAAAGTTTCAGAAGGAATCGACTGAGCACAGAGACCAGCACATGGTAAGAACTGACATCTGGCTAAAAGATAGCTCAAAGGGTTAAAGAGTGTACCTTGTACACTTGCCAACTTTAGTTCAGTTCCCAGAACCAGCAATGAAAGGAGAAACCTGACTCCTGACCCCTGAAAGATGCTCTGACCTCCCCTACCCCCTTCTTCCCTCCCTCCCTCCTTTTCCCTTTCTCCATTCCCCTCCCCCCCCAGCAGCCATAAACAGTCAATGTCTGGCCCAGCTGGGGACCTCCCGGACTTCACTATATCACTGTGGCCACTGTCCACAACCATGCTAACCTGGCTGCTACACCCTTTTCATCTTAGCGTGTCTGTTCTAGCT